TATGTCTTAACATCTTTAGATGTTTTTTTTTTTTGGGGGGGGGGGGGGGGTCAAAGAAAAGCACATGGCTATGCTAACAGTGAAAGGAGGGATACCAAGTTTGATACCTTTAAATCACTGGATCTAATGTTACATAAAGAAATGTTCTATTGCTTGTCCTAGCAGCAGTTGTTTTTGGAATAGCTAAAATGACTGCCAACACATTCACAAATTACTTTCATACCAGAGGCATAGCAAGCTCCTTTTGGTGCCCTGGACAGGAGGCGGGTGTACTGCAGGGATGATGGGGCCAGAGACATACTTGGTAGGGCTTGTGCTCTCAGAAACTACAGGCCAACTAGTGTGAAAGACCCAGGGGTGGAACCGTGATGGTTCTGAGGCCCGTGCAGCTAAGAAAAAAGGTGTCCCTTTTCTAAGGAGTTAAGCCTCTCACTGCCAAATGCCATGCTGAACAAGTAATTAAAATCCTGAATTTAGCAGGGGGTCACCCCTCTCCCCCATCTTCATTCCCTACTCTTTTTTCCTTCATCATTTAACTGCCTTGACCCGCAGAGCCTCCCTGTATTATTGCCTGGATCCTGGTCCCACTCTGTGCAGTGAAGCCTGTAGCTGTCAGAGTAGCAGCATTGTTGTATCTATTCCAGCACCCTGCAGCCTCTGTCCCAGGACCCTTTCCCTTAATCAGCACCTGAGGCTAGTCACCCACTGACCTACCCCCCAGTTACACTACTGCCTCACACAGATTGCCCCTAAAAGAAAATGGTGGAGGCAACAAAAGTTCACATTAGTAGCTACCTTGCTGCTCATTAATTCATGTTTTGGTCTGCTCACGCCTGCCACAGATGCTATCTGCAAACTGTCTACAGCCCTGGTTAAAGAATGTGGTTGGTTCAGGGACTTGAAAGGGAAAAATGATTGCATGGGAGGGAGAAATAAGTTGCTTGTTCTTTTAAAGTGGTCTTTTCATGCAGACTATAGATAAGGTGTAATATTTTTTAGTGTACCTAAGGCTGAGAGTCACAAACCTTTTTAAGAGTGTTGAGTATATATTACAGAAAGCAACCACTGGGCTGCAGAGTGTCACATGGAAATTATTCATTTTCCTGGTTCTGTGAACATCACAAACCACTGGAGCTATGTTCCTCTGATTTATGATGTCACTAAAGTCCCTCAAGAGAATTACTTTCCTGAAAACCACCATAGATCATTTGTTATTCTACAGAATGTGTGTTATACGTATCACATTTAGAAAGAAAGCTCTTATGTTTTAAATGTGTTAAGGCAGGTGGTGAGATTAATTCTTTAGCAGCTGAATTGATTGATTTCTTTTAAATACAGTTTGTATATTATTTATACACAGCTTTATATACTGTATCCAGAAAACAGCACTCCCTTTCCTGGCCTGAGCTGTATCTTTCACTGATATCCAATTACTTTCTATTTTTGCCTCTTAGGATTTGATACCAGCATTTTGCCAATTTGCAAGGACTCCCTTGGCTGGATGTTTAACAGGCTTGATATGAACTATGACCTGCTGTTGGACCAGTCAGAGCTTGGAAGCATTTACCTTGACAAGAATGAACAGTGCACCAAGGCATTCTTCAATTCTTGTGACACATACAAGGACAGTTTGATATCTAACAATGAGTGGTGCTACTGCTTCCAGAGACAGCAAGGTAAAAGATGAGAATAACCTGCAGATGCAGATGACTGACCTGATTGTAGTGTTTTATCATTTTCTGAACATGTTAAAAAGATTATAGTGAACTACAAGTTCTTAAGTGCTTATCTTAGGAATTTGTCTTAAGGTTTTGAACTACTGTGAATACACAGTGAAAAGAAAGTCAAAAACAAGCTGCACTGAAAATGTTGCCAGACATCCAAGACATGCTAAATAAAATGTAAAATAGCAATTAATGCTTTTATAGCAGCATTGCTTCTCCAACCAACCTCCAGCAGACACTTAGAGAAAAGAGGGAACCAAAATGAAAGAACAAAATTATCAGCATTAATCCTCCCTCTATCTGTTTTGCCCACATTATAAAATAAACATTTTTATTGCTCTGCTGTGGCATTTTAATGTTCTGTTTTGTGAGCCTATTAAAATAACTGAATCAACTGCAACATCCTGCAAAATGTTATTTTCATTCATTTGACCCTATAGCCATTGATTTTTAGGACCTAGCTAAAACCTTTTGTTGAGTTCTTGAAATTATTTAGAAAAAAAAAAGTTAATAATATCTATAGGCAGTTCATTTCTGAACTATCCACAAATGAAAATTAAATCAACAATAAACAACACTTTTATAGCTATGTAATATATTCCGTAAGTTATTAAATCAATTTAATTTTAATAAGGTTTTAAAAAAATCCTTGCCATTGGCTATTGGCTGAGGCTGGACAGAAATGGATATATTTACATTCAGCTTCTTATTCAGCAGATGATGTAGAGGAAAAAAAATATCAGGTCCCCAACTCCCACTGGTTGTGTCTACACATCGCTGTAATGAAAACCTTAACGACATAGCTCATTGCTATGGAGACATAGCATTGGCAGGCACGAAGTGTAATGCCAACGCCACTGCTCAGTAGCATTGGAAATGACCCATGTAGCACTAGGACTGCACAGTAACAGTAGTGTATGAGTAACAGTAGTTACTGTGCAGTAACACACAGTAACAGTAGTTACTGCACAGTAGTTACTGTGCAGTCATTTAGTGTTTGCTTAAGCATCGTTACTAAATGATTGTGGAGTAACAACTGCACAGTCCAGCGCACATGTAAATGCACCCACTGAGTGGCTGTGTCTATACAAGACACTTTACTATGCAGTAGACAAACCTAACCATCTACACATGCAGGCACTTAGTATGCAGTAAATTAGTCTACTGTGCAGTAAATTTACTACCCGCATATGGAGTAATGTTACTGCCCAGTAAAGCCAAATAGTATTAATTACACATGAAACACACCCAGTTAGTCTGTAAGAATTGAGGATTAAACTGACCCTTGGTATCAGCTTAGAAAACTAAGCTAAGTCTGTTTTGTGTCCCTGATGCTCCCATGGAAGTCTGCTTTCAAACACTCCCTGCCCATCCACTATCACTCATATACACCAAATCCAGTAATGCAATGATGTAGCAGTTTTGGGGGTTTCTGCTACAGCTGTTCTCAGCATCTCTGTTGGGATGCCCCTGAAGCATCTTGACAGCCTCATTTCTAACTTTAGAGCATGCAAGCAGAGGCAGTAAGTAGGCAAGATATGTTCAAAACTTACCTTCCCAAGGAGCTCTGAGGATGCAATATCAATGTATCTTAATTTTATCAGTCTCTCTCTCAAACCCTCACATTTGAATTTAAAAAGCCCCAGTTCTTTTTACATGATTGAGCTAACTGTCCTCTTGTTTGTTTAAAATCTGCTGTCAGATATAAAATCATTGATAACTACCCAGCATAAAAATCAAGTTTTCATCTTTCAAGAAATCTTATTTACTTTGAAATAGGACTGTCTTTTCAGTTGCAATTTTAGAAGTATTATGCTGCTGCTAAAACCACTGGCCATGTCTACACATGTGCTTAACTGCAGAGTAGACTAATAAGATGCAGAGTGAAGCATCACCATCTACACATGCAATGGTATTAGGCTTCAGTAAACTAATTAATGCTGCCATAAGATAGTACTGTCCGGTACAGTACTACCATACAGCAGGGTAATTAATTGCAGTTAAATACATGTGCAGATGCTGACCATGGCATAAATTGCAACCAGTCAGCCAGCCAGCAGGGGGTCAGACTCCTGCCTGCTGCCTAGACACAGCTACATACTTGCAGTACTCCGCTCATACCCCAGCCAGCCCCTCTGCAACCTGAGGCTGGCACCTGGAATCCAGGACTGACCCCTGTTCCTCCTTGGCCATGGTGTAAACTGCTCTGCCCCAGCTGAAATTGCTGCTGTCCCAGGCATACGTGAATACCGTGCCCAGGAGTAGTTTACTCCAGCTCAAACTGCTCTGGAATTTGTTGCTTCAAATTAATTGCACATGTAGATAGAATCATAGGGCTGGAAGGGACCCTAAAGGATCATCAGGTCCAGCCCCCCTGCATGAGCAGAAAAGACAGCTGGGGTCAGACAACCCCAGATGTACCGAGTGCCAAATTTATGTTTATTTTTAAAATAAGAGTTGTCACCTATCTGCTATTTAGTCATTTAACTATTATTCACACATCTTCTCTTCCCATAGTATGAACAAGTTGCATAGACATCAATAATTTTTTTTTTTAATGAAAATTTGGTAATTTATTGGTGTTCCTTTATGTATTATTGGATTGCACAATCTAAATATATAACTCTCTTAAATGAGATATTTATAGTGATAGTATTACTAGCTAGAGAAGACTTGTTTGCCTCTCTATAATATTCATAAAGTATGCTTGCATTAATAAAAAGCTTGTATGTACATAGCCAGCACTTTATTCATGATTCTGTTGATGTTTTCTGGGAAGTTTTACTACTCTCAAGTATCATATATAGATGTTGATAACTGCTATCAATAATTGTATTGGCTGTGTTCAAAGTAAATACAAGAATGAAAGCCAGAGCCTATACATTTTTAAAGATAAATAATTGTATCTGAACTTATTATCAGATCAAGATTCTCCTTTTTTGTCTTGGTCTCTTAATGCAAGACTGGAAGTATTCTTCCAGTTCTGAGAGCATCTTTTATCTTTAGAGGCAGTGGTAATGAAGAGTAGGTGTTCCTGACCCCTCTGTTGGTCACTGCACATCATCCCTACCTAATTATAAGTTCTACCTTCTAAAATAGTCCAGTCATTTCCTTCTTCAGCAAGATAGGAACTCTGTAGCAGTTGCACCTTACTAACGTGCCCCAACTCTTCTCAAGATCTTGGTATTTGACACGTTTTTCCTCGATCTCTGTGGTGCTGCTTCCAGTCCATCTGGTTTAGTATTTCTGAAATACTTGTCCAAGACTCTTCAGTGGATTTCTGTGGTACTTCAGTTCCTAAATTTGGTCAACATTTTCTTTCCTGTCTCTGTTCTTTGGCCTCTGTTTCCCTCCATGTGCAGGCAGCATTTTATCTAAATGTGTTTATCTAAGTGCCTGCCTTAAGCAGTAAAGCACTCCATTTCTACCATAATGTTACAGTGCTCACCTGAATGCTGAGGCACTACTAGTCTGTTCATTTTGGCAGGTTAGATTGTTTTAATTTTCTAGGGCTAAGGGATCATTGCAGAAAAGGTACTAGCACTAGATTGCCAGGAGCAAGGTGCTATCTTTCCAAAATATGTAAGAAGCAACACCATCTATTGCTGCTTACCACAGCCGATGCTACCCTTGATGCCTCGCTGCCCTCTCTTGTTTTTCAGGATTTGGTATCGAACAAGGATTCAAGAATCTTCAGTGGCTTCAAATTTAGCCTATTGAACAGAAGAGTGACAAAAGCCTAAGATTTGTACTTGCTATGTCATCTTCCTGAGATGATTTGCATAGACACAGTTATAGCTAGCACTGAAGAAGTATATTATGTACTACAAGCTCTCACTGAAATAGCTGAGGAGACTGCTTTAAGTCCCACGTGATGCTGGTCCAGAGTGCTTCACATGGTCAACCTGTGAAGTTGACACATTGGTTAGACAAGAACATGAAGAAATAAATTTCCCTGCCACTGCTGCCCACACTTGCACTTCCCCCAGGCCCCCCAAAAGTACAAAAGGGTGGCCTAACCAACAAAACATCCTGGGCCTACAACACAGAGGCTGAGGGCTCTGTGGGTATCATCTACCTGATACTACACATGAAGTCAACGATAATATTGTCTTGGTCATTGGGTAAAGTGGATAATCTATATCCATCCACAGCAGGACATGAACCAGCAGTTCCTTGATGTACTTCTATTGAAGATAACCAAATTCCCCCTCCCCTCTACCCCCTCAGCATCTGGCAGCAGAGAGGGCCAGGGAACTAAAAAATAAAAAAAAATCCTAGTCTTCTGTGCAGCTACCTTAAAGTCCCAAATACAAGCTTTGAGTCATCTTTCTCTCTCTCTGTTGGCAGGGGTAGCACTCTTGACACAGTTGGATGTCATATCTCAAGGGTCAGTACTCCAGACATAAGAAGCTTTGGCTCAGCAGCTGTGTCTCTTGCACTTATTACAACTCATGCCACTGTCTTATGAAGTATATTCTGCACTATAACCAGTACATAACTGTCATCTCACCTAGACAACTCCAGCCATTTGAGTAAGGGCTGTCTATGGATCAGGAGGGTGCAGTCTGATATTTGGACTTAGGCAAACAGAAAGACTTATCTTGTGCCAAATTCCTTTCCACTTAAGAAGAACACGAGCACAGTGACCATAAATGAGGAAGATTCTTTCAACTTTTCCTCAGTTTTTACTGAAATTGTGCAAGGCCACTGCTACGAAGTTAAAATCAGCTAAGGTATCACATTGAGTGGGTTTTGTCTCCCACTCAGTCAAAGGAACTGATTGAAGACAAAGAGGATAAACCTTTTTAATGGGTCAGGGTGGCATGAGCTCAAGTCCTGTCTTGCTGTCACACCCTTTTGAGACCAAAAGCTTTAACTGCTAAGAGAGTTCTGGCAGTCTTGTGCTCTGGTAGTGAAAATCTTGCAAGATCCTCTTCAAAGATATATTT